ATGTTTAACACCATTTGAACTGTACGTGTATTGTGTGTTTTGAAAAAGAAGCTCACTGAGCAAATAAAGAAGAGCAGTTCAGCCTTTCTACATAAACCAACAAGGAAGTAGAAAATGACAGGCAGCAAGGGACAGAAATGTGAGGGAAATCCTGGACAGTGAGTTCTGGGAAAGTTTTCTCATATGTGAAGACCACTGTAGTTTCTGGCAGGTGTTTCTTAAAGAACAGATTTGTGTAGAAACGGTCGGTGTAGTTTGTTCCACTATTTGGTGTTTACTGCACTTTGTGATGGTAGACTGTACGTCTATATTACAGAGGTATCGGCAAAGAAATATATTCTGAAAAGACAAGACCAATCATTCAAGATCCGTATGAAGCAGGCTCAACATTCTTACTTTTTTTGCGGTTTTGAGTGGTGGAGGAGTTTGCTGAGTTGTTAGCCCCACTTTCCTCTTCTTCTTTGGGTTCTGTCTTAATCTCTGGCTTTTTCTCCTCCGTTTCCATTGGTTCCTGTTTGGGCTCCACTTCCTCAGGTTCCTCCTTTTTCACCAACGGGGGCTTGATATCATCATCCTGCTGAGAAACGGGCAAAAAACAAAACAGAAAATCAGTTAACTATATAAAAGAAAAATAAAAGTTTTAAAGTAAACCTTAAACATTAAAAAGTCAAAACATAACGAGGAGCACAGGAATGTGGTCTGAATTAATTTATAAACTGTTTTAGACAACAGGTGTATTAGATCCAACAGTATAATGTACAAAATGTACAATCAATAAAAATCCTACGTAGAAATCATTAAAACTGTAATACATGTATTTACCTCAGTTTTTACACAATCGTCCTTCTTCTCAGCGGTGACCTCATCTTCTTCAGCTTTTACTTCAGGCTGGGAGTCAGTGCTGCACATATCAGGAAGAGCCTGCTGGGAGCTCTGCTCAGCAACAGAACTAGGAGTCGGCGCTCTGTTGTCTTCACTGGCTGCTGCCTGAGACAACTTCAAGAACAGGAAACGAAAAAGCTCAGCCCTGAACACTCACAAACACATTACCATGGAATCAATCGTGAGTAATCCTAACACAGAGGACTTGACAGGTAAAACACAGGGTCTCACCGGTGTACTGGGATGCTGTGCCTTAACTGAGGTGGGCTGCTGCGCCTTAACTGAGGTGGGCTGCTGCGCCTTAACTGAGCTGGGCTGCTGCATCTGGCTGGGGGGTTCGGGTTGGGATTGGAGGGGCGTGAGTGGTTGGGATATGTTAGCAGGCGTCTCCATAGCCGTGGAGGCACCAGGGAGGTTGCTGGGTATGTGGGTGGGGGTGGAGGAGGGCCCACCAATAGAGGCAGGGGTAGAAGGCCGTGTTGGCACTTTGGCCTGGGGGGGAGCATGGTGTTGCTGCTGCTGCTGCGGCTGCATGCTGGCGGGGGCGCTGGGTGGAGGAGTTGCACCGAGAGTGGACTGAGCTGCAGGGCCACAGGACAGTTGGGGGCCGAGGGAGCCCAGTGCATTCAGGGGGAGGTTAGAGTTCTGCTGCGGCTGCTGCTGGATTATAGAGATGGTGCACTGTTAGCATGCTAGGACAAACTGTTCATACAGCAGACTCACACTCTGAAATCCAACTTTTAAGAAAATGCATAACAGAGAAAATAGGACTGGGAAGAAGAGAAAACATTTGAGCAGGATCTAAGAAACAAGTCCCTCACCTGTGTGATAGCGGCCTGTGTTAAAGGCTGGCCCAGGCCTACGTTCACATTCATTGCTCCTCCTGTAGCAGCTGGGAACTGGCCCTGTGGCAGAAACTGGCTCTGGTTGTTGGGCTGAGGAACCATGTTATTCGCATGGCTGCCCATCATTCCTTGTGTCTGAGGCATCCTGGATGGAGACATGCCCATCTAGACCGAGAGGAGAGTTCAGTTTAGTTTTTTGAACCTTTTTATTTTCCTCAGATGAAAACTGAAGACAAACTAAACAGATGTGTGCATCTAAATGGCAACAAACTAATATACGACATATTCAGACTAAGACTATTTTTTTCACAGAAAAGAAGAACTTAAATGCTGATAGTTTCTCATTTATAATGAACCAAGCAGAAAAAAATAAAGCAAATATGCATGCTACCACTTATTGTCTATGAAATGGTCAGTGACAAAAAGTGTGTGTCAATTAAAACAGGCCTTGTTCTATTACAAATACATCTGTGCCTTTGTTGCCAATTTAATGACATTATATTATGACAAGTTACATCAGCGACAACTACTATCAGCAAATGTCATTCTGAGGGTTGGTTAAAAAAGACCAGATCTCACCAAGAAGGTGAAACAAATGACAAAAACATAAATAAGTAGAAAAATTGGGCAAAACAAACCGAGGGAATGGAGCCCATATTCATCTGCTGTGGATGGTTCATGGGGGAGGGAGCACGTGCTCCCATGGGTGCCTGAGACATCAGTGCGTTCTGCATAGCCATCGGGTTAAACTGGTTCATTCCTGTGGGCAAACAGTGATGGATTTGACTTTGACTTGACATATGATTACATTTTGTCTCTCCTTGATTCAGGGTTGGTTGATATATTAACTGGTTCAAGTTCAAATCAGACTGCATGCATACTTTTAAGAACAGTGAAAAATACATGAACATTTTCTTCTACTGATAGTTTCTAAAAGATCTGAGGCTGAGCACATACCTTGAGGCCCCTGCATACGGCTCATATTCTGATTTGGCATGTTGGGCATAGGCACAGGTCCATCTTAAGAAAGACAAGTTGGTCATTTATAATATACTCTCAATCACAGAAAGTACTCTCAAGTGTACTTCTTAATTTAAAAGTGATCAATTTCAGGAGCCGTTTTACTGGAGAAAAGGGTATTTTAAGGTACTAACTTGGTCGGACAGCGGGTCCTGAGCCCATAGCGTTGGGCTGAGCCATACCAGGCTGCTGAGGCCCAGCTGTGCCCACCATGCCAGGCTGTTTTTGAAGCCGTGAACGCCTCTTTTCCTCAAGCTCCTTCTGGATCTTGTAGATTTTGTCTGCTAGGAGGTGGTAATACTCATCCTTAAGTTAAAAAAGACAAATGCAATTATTTACTTTATTGATACAATTTTCTGTATTTTAATGTTGTGAAATATACAAAATGTAAGTTACCCTACTGTTGGCCGTCTCATACATGTCACCCTCTACCTTGCGTGCATATGCCACCAAGTTCTCCATCCGTCGGTCCTTCAGTGCTGCAGGGTCTGGGGTGGGGAATATGGCTTGTACTCTGATAAAGACAACAAAAACAATGAATCAATTAAAACACCAAACTTTTTTTCTAATGTTTAACTTCAATGTTTTTATTGATGCACTCACAGTTTGTGCACCAGGTTGGTGCGCAGGTCCTGAGTGACGTTCTCTTGCCAGGCCTTTCTTACCCCTGTAGCAGAGAGAGGGGTGGTAGCGGGCAGGTTTCCCATGCCCCCTGCAACTGACCCATCTGGCAACAGCTGACTATAAAAGAAAATGAATGAAGTTATATTCGATAGTGATTCACTAATTCACTGATGACAAGAGACGATTTATCAAAGAGTGAAAATATTACTATACAATAGTGATGTAACAGCACACAAAAGCTGTATGTTCCGCAGTATTAACATCACAGTTCTGTACATGTTTGGTTTGAAAGGAAATATGGTAATACTTTATATTTATTGTCACCAGTTTATTGGTACCACTGATAACCACATTCTGACAACACTGTTTCGAGTGTTTTATCATGTTTAATGTATTACCAGCCTGACAGCCAGTTTCGACTCGACTACGATGACATGTTTAACTGTAAAACCGTAGTGATTTCAAACAGCAAAACTGAAAAAGATCTAATATATGAAGGTCGTCTGTGCTAACCACTACCCGTTTGTTGAATGACTTGCACTTGCAGCAATTAAAATTTAGTTCATTACGATGGTTATCTGTGACATATTTCAACTGTATAATGTTTCATTTTGTTGTGCAAAACATAACCAAAGAATGAAATAATTTGTGAATAGATGCACTTTATGTTACTGAAGTCAAGTGATATATTAAAGTGTAAGTTTGTATGTACTGCAATAACCAGACTTACTTGCTGAGCGAAGGGGGCAGAGAAGAGTCAGAGTGCAAGCCAGTCTGGTCTGTGGAGGGGACACCGATGCTTCCTGCCATCTGGTTTATTTGATTGGTGCCTGATAAACATACAAAGTCAGTTACAATAAGGTTTACAGAACAATTTAAAGAAATTTACCCATGTTCCGTCGTTCATTCACCTAGTGTGTTCATATTTCGCAGTTGCTGGTGCTGTGTCGCCTGCGGATTTTGCTGAGTCTGGACTTGACCCTGTCCCTGGACCTGAGCAGGAGGCTGGTTGCCATACGGCAGGCCCAGAGCATCGTAGGCTCTCTGCATAGAGCTGGGATCGATGTGAGTGGCTGCACTGTTGATGGCTGTGGTGCTCGGCTGGCCAGGTCCGACTGGGTTGATGGTGTTCTGCAAGCTAGCCCCGGGGGAACTTAGCATGACTGGGAGAGGATAATTAAAGATGATTAAATGTGGCATTTAAATCATACCATGCTATTATGGCAGAAGAGTGACTTCTACTTATTCTAATTTTTTAAACATCAAAACATGTTCTTTAAGCCAAAATATTTACATATTTCTAAACTCACATTTTTTAAAATAACATTATAAACGTGACATTATGTGCGATTTGACCCTAAAGATCTATATTGTTCCATCTCAAAAATGTAAGTATGTTGAATTTCTGCATTAAAAATAATTTCTTATGACAAGAGAAACTTAATAAACAATTCAAAATGATTTAAAATTTAAGGTTTGGGCTAATTGTGTTTTCAACTCTATGTTAATAAAATAGCTTGTCAATAATGACTGCGTTTTCTCTACATCATTGCATCCCTCCATCCTCCCGCTACTCCACCTTGCTCACTGCTGAGTCTAAACATGTGGCCACTGTGGGGGGATTTAAACCCGTCATAAAGCATTGGACCAATCACAATGTATCTAGATCAGGACCCCGCCCCCACCGGTGGAAGAGTCTCTCAGCCCCTCCCATAGGGTGTCACATTTCAGGTCCAGCCTTTCTAGAGGAATCCTCTCACTCTTCACACTCTCACAACTAGCAAGCCTACAGTGCTGTAGGCTGGGAAACACAGCCTGCAGGTGGCGTCACTATGTCCAGCGCTCACATCCACCTAATCCACAGTATGATGCTGTGTGACAGCCGGCTTGTTTTTAAGGCTTCACAGGTTTAAATTATTGATTAAAATTACAAATATATCTACATATAAATTAAACAAACATATATACATATATATAGACATACATAGAAAGAAAAGGAAGAAAGGAAAGTGAACCCCTTGTCATTGTGACATTGTGACAAACACCACTGCACACAACAAAATTTAACCATTGCATTTAACTCATCACCAAAGTGAACAGTGGGCAGCTATGATCGCCCGGGGAGCAGTGTGTGTGGACGGTGCTCAGAGCACCTCAGTGGTAACTTGGCAGGTGGTGGACTCGAACCTGAAACCATCCGTACCCAAGTCCGCTTCCTTAACCGCTAAGGCAACACTGGCCATATACACACGTTTTATATATATAAATACTGTATATATCACAACACAAACAGGCAGTGATAATGAAAGCAGCTTTGTGCTGAACTGATCATGTTGCTGGAATAGGGTTACGGGCACGTCAGTTCAGTAGGTACAGCCCACAGCTGAAGAGGAGCAGTGCACAATGGGATATTTGGGCTGCTGTAGTCATACAACACATTATCTACAAATCATCTACAGTACAAACACAGCAGGTTTCTAATCAGACAACAATCAACGTCCTTTCACAAGCACTTTGACATGTGTTCGACAACTAACTTGGAACAGCTAGAGTCAAAGCATGTAAAAAAATGTGTTTAATTTTGAGTTGGTAATATCCTCTCAATTTGAACCAGTACAGGGCATTGTTTTATTTTCCATTGTACATTAACCTAATCAGTGGTACATTCAGCTTGGGCCAACTTATGATATAAAATTACACAAACCTATAATAGATAGAATAGCGTTTCATTTAATTTAATCAACACAATTAACAACTTGAGCTTTGTGATCTATAAAAACATTTAAGAATGGTGAGAGAAAGAAGAGGTCTCGGAGCTACTTACTCTGTTGGTTCCTTTTATCACTTGCATTTTTCAGAGGCAGACAGACAGGACAGTCATGTCGTGTACAGTTCTTCCAGTGGGAGATGATCTGTCTGGATGATGCACAGTGAGCCACTGTAAAAGAAAATTCAGACACAAGTTGAAAAGACAGATCATTTAAAAAAGCATTGTGATTAGTGGGATGGTCATAATGTGAATCTAATTTTTCTCCCTTTGTGGTTTACATTCTGGTTTATGTATGCCATGAGACTCATGTGTACATTTGACCAACTGCCCTAAATAGACATTATTTTCACTCACCCTGGCAGGCCTTGCCAGCCTGGCAGTGGGTCATGTGGTTCAGGACGTTCTTCATGGTGCGACAGTGGGGTAAAGTGCAGGCCCTCACCTCCCCGTTGGCCTGCTCCCGCCGCTGGCACTTGTGTGCATGTAGCAGCAGGACCAGCTGCTGCTGAATAAGTTTGCGCTTCTCTGGGTCAGCTGTAGGACCTGCCACACCTCCTGCCCCAGGGACCATCCCTACTGATGCTATCTGCTGCTGCATCTGGGCCTGTGACTAAAAGCATCAAACAGAACAGTTAGATAAGAGAATGAGTAATATTCAGATTCAAGACAATGAAGCATTTTGTACAAAATGTTACATTTCTTGCATATTGCTGCCACTCACCCAATGATTTACTAATGTCGGGAGTCCAAAGTATACACCAGTATAATCATGGTGTTTATACTGATCTCTAAGAACACCCAAGTTAAACCGACATTTGTGTCTAAAAGAACTGGTCCATGTTGCATAGCCCTTGAAATTATATTTTGAGCACAATAAAAGGTGAAACGCAAGGCTTATTGTTCTGCAACAAAAGGTTTTTCCAAGCTGACTGAACTCAAGTGACCCTTAAACACTACAAATATGTTGTACAAAATATATTATATTTTGTGAGATTTTTTTTTACATATTCAAGTATATCTGTGAGATTTTTTTTTACATATTCAAGTACAAAGCTAAGCTAATCCATATAATGTGGTGCAGATTGGCTTATAATAACCGCAGAACACAAACTATAAGTAAGAAGATAATTATCAAGATGGGATAAGACATTAAGAAAACTCACCATGTTTGGCACAGTCCCAGCTCCCTTTAGCTCACCAGGAAATTGAGGCAGGTTGTTTGAAAGGGCTGTCTTGTTCTGAAGTTGTTGAGCATTGACCCCTGCTGCCCCCATCTGCTGCACTCCAACCTGGCCATACTGCTGGCCAAATGCAGCACCTGACATTCCCATCTATAGCAGAAAAAAAGGATGTTGAGAGTTCAAAAGTGTAGTAGCTATCAAACATACTACAGCTAATTGATTTCTTTACATGTGGAAGAATGTCAGCGCTACACCACATTCTTCACTAGCAACTAACGACAATACTCAGGTGTAAAACTATCCTTGTAATCTTAGTTTACAAATGTGTGACAGCTTCGATTGAATGAGTGTTAATCTATTTTTTAATGAGAAGATAATTGTTTTCAAGGGAAAAAAAACAATGGCTTTAACGCACTGTTCAATTTTGTTATGCATGCAACCCATGCACATATTTTGTGGCACAGTGATGCATTTAAGTTCAACTATATTTTCCCATCGTCAACTCTTCACCCTTTCCTCACATCTTTGTTTTTTCCCTCATTATAAATAGTTATAACAGGTATGTGACCAAAATAAAAAGTTTTGCAAAGCTGACAAAACACTAAGAAAATAGAAAACAGTTCAGCGCATGGCAGCAACAAAAGAAATGATGTGAATAATATCTCAGCAGAGCACAGCACAGCCTTTTACGTTATTCTTTTTTAGGAACTGGACTAAAGTGAGAGTGTTTTATTATGTTTTCATTATATTTTTATTATATTCAGTTTATTTATTAAAGTTACTCATTTTGCACTGAGCCTCAAACCCTGTCTTTGTAATCTCAACTTTTTACCGAAGAATAAATCATACAATTCTTTAAAGTTATATTAAAAAAAGAAAGAGTACAAAATTGACAATTCAGCACATTCCTAGTACTAGTACACTAGAAAAAGCAATTACCCAAGTATACACTGTGCTTCTCAGGAAAATTTAAAAATTGCTACGTAATATATTGTGAAAATTTACAGACATACCCACTCAGAGACCTACATTAATTATTATTTATTATATTTTTGCTGCCTGCTGTGAATACCCACAGACCCCTACATTCCTGAATATTCTTCCATAAGTAAATCAAAATGCTTTTTTTCTCTTCATATTAACCATCTATTCTTGTCGTTTCCACAGAAGGCATCTGTGTACAGCCTGGATTTGCCTCCGTCCACAATGGACAAAGCAACAGTTTCTCAATGTCAGCAGTGCTTAGGCAGACAGAGCAGGCCCAGCCCAGCTGAGAGAAAAAGTAAAAGACAGAGTGAGACCAGCTTGCTCAACAGCTGAGCAGAGCGCTGTGCTCTCTGCTGCCTGCCCCTCCCCCTCTGCTGCCTGCACACACTGCACAGATGCCTGCCTGCTGCCTCACTCTCATTCACAAGAACTCATCCCACTCTACCCCTCGATGATCTGCTCTTACTGTGGAGGAGCGTGCCCAGGATAGAGGAAATCTTTGTCGCACAGCCTTTGAAGACTCAGGTCTTATTTTTTTCTTATCTGCTCGCACCATTTACCACTTTTCTCCTCGCACAGAAATGTAACACAACCCAGCTTCTAATCACGATACACAACTCCAGGGTTTCTGCTGTACGCATTATGCCGCAGCAGCTTGCTCCTACTTCATTATTGCCACGACTGCCCTTGAAATGGAGCAGATGCACAATATTTGTCTACCTGGTACCTAACTGTAATATATATAATAAACAATATAAAGCTTCTCAACACTACAGCAGCACTTGCTTGATCAATTAAAAACCTCTGAGGTTATTCTAGCCCTTAGGTCATTGCACCTTATGAAGTTTAAAATCCTTACTTATCAGGCAACTTTGCTGTCCACCTTTATTTTGTAATAAAGCATTTTTGAGCAATTTAGAGTCTGTGGCAAACAAATGAATCAACTGTGAAAGGCTCATGCTTTTAAAGGTGTTTTGGAAAAGTCATGATGACATGCAATGTCATGTTTATATGATCAGCAGGGTCACACATTTTCAAAAGCAAACCAATGGATGACCTGCCTCCAATGCTTAAAAGAGAATGTGGAAACACTGATCTCAGTCAGAACTTAGGATCATCACAAAATCTAACTGCTTCTTGCTTCAGTGATTGGTAAAAAAAAACAATATAAAAAGGGAGTTTGGATGCTCACCTTGTTCATTGTTCCTGCTTGCTGTATATTCAACACATTGTGTGCACCCAACTGCGATCCTCCTTGGGTGAGAGTCTCTGCTAACACACTTCCTCCAACACCAGGTCCAGCACCCACTTGAGACCCCTGCATACCTTGGGTCTGATACTGCATTCCAGGCCCTGGTCTTCCACGACCTGCTGGTCCAAGAGCTCCATTCATAACCTGTCCAGGTTGGCCCATGACGCCATGACCTTGGCCACTGTTTAACATAGCCTGGTTGAAGCCAATGGCTGCATTTCCATTGCCCTGTCCAGTGGCACCACCTTTTTGGGCCTGTGAAGTCTGGTGATTGGGGGAGCCCTGCCCAAGAGGACTTTTGCCAAGCACGTTGCCTAGCTGACTCCCCACCATGCCTCCCTGCTGGGGGCTGGATGAGTTCATTCCACCTCCCAAGATTGAAGAACTTCCTGGTCGCAGGAGTTCAGACAGCTGTTTGTGTTTTGCAGCCGCATCAGGGACGATGGAGTTGAGACCAGGACCCCCTCCACCTGGGCCACCACCATTTGAGGACATCCCCATGCCCAAGTCTCCATTTGGAATCAGCTCATCTGGAAGGTTGTTTTCCAAGTCAAATAGGGAAACAAGATCTAGAAACAAGACAGATAAGTAAGAATCAGCTCAATCGTCATCACAGTAAAGCAATTTAGAGAATGTCACCCATGTGAAAAGTGTGATTCACCAAGTTCTACAATATACTGCGGCAGTTAACAGCAAAAACTTGAGAACAACCTAGTTAAATGACTAAATAAAAGCCCTGGTGGAGGGCAATATTAAAAAATAATCTGGGCTCACATTACAGGAGTGGTGGAAGACATGAAAGAAAGGTGGTGGAGGTGACTGGGTGTGTCCCAACCTACTGGCTGACACTGCTGCCCCTCCAGCTAGAACCCAAAAATTTGAGTAAAATGGGAAAAATGGGAAGGCCGAAAAAGTCACTGATTAGTATTGAATTAAAAAAAGATTCCACTATTCAACTAACATTGAAAAAAATAACAATTGTCCTATTTAAATAAGACAATGTTTTATATTTGGTCAAAATTTGTCTGGAGCTCATTTTGTTAAAAAAAAAAATTATGACAAAATCTTTTTGTGACCTAAAAATCGTGAATCATATGGTATTGTGAGTTCAGTGTATTGTTACATCACTAAAGTTTAGAATTCATAAATACATTTTTATAACTTGTGCTAACAACAACCATGGTTCACTGATGATCTTTAGTCCAAACAATATTTTGTTCCATAAAATGTTAAATGTCAACCACAGTAGTTGTAATTAATATGGGAAATTGATAAAATGATGGTAAACTTAAGACAGTGCAGCCTTGTTATTTACACACATTTGTAAAACATTTTGTTGTATTTTATGAGCAAAGCTGTGATGACTTAAGCATGTGCAAAATTAACAGCATGCTTCATTGGTAAAGTCAGTCTCACACTCATTTACTTCACCACATTTATAAAAACCACAGCCGGTTTGCAAAAATCACAAGAAAATAACCTTTGGGGAGACAACATAATCTCAGAAGCCAAGAAAATTAATTTAATTCAGACTTTATAAGGAAGTGTCTGTAGCCAAAGTTTTTTTAAAGCACACAAGTGTTTCATGGATGTACTAGTTGGAAAGTTTAAAGACAGTAATTATGAATAATTTTAAAAGGTTTACCCTGTTACCATGCTTAAACATAGATATTTATCTTTATTAGCTTAGCAGCAATATCTGAAAAAGTACATAGTTCAGAGTTTCGATTGCCAACAACAACATCCCCAACACCTCCATTGAAGGTCTGGTTAATATTTTTATATTTTATTTTCATCAGAGGGTTAGGATTCCTTCCCTATTGAACAAGTCTCCGTTAGCTCCTTTGGTTTAACAAACTAAATAGTATTTTTCTACATTATTAACAACACAGCATCAACAAAGAGACACAATATTGTGCTTAATTTTAGAAGCACGATGTTGTGTTGAGAAGGTTTTTAAAAGATCCATTTCCTCAAATTAAAAAAAAAAAAAATCCAAATAAAAATTGTGTGTGCTGGCAAAAACCTGGCAATATGATACAGGGGTAACTCTTCAATTTCATTGTACCCCCATGTTACAATGACAATAAAGGCTATTCTATTATATTCTATATTGCAATATACAGTGATACAATATATTGAGCTTTTTTTAACAACATAGTTGCAGGAAGAATGTCAGCGTAGTAAACACAATCCTTATTAGTTACATGCTAAGCATAAGGTTACTAAAATTGGAACAGCCAAAATCACTCAGAGAATCTTTATGTTACACCAGTATGAGCACCACTGCTCTAACATTACCTTTCTTCCAAGTCTACACTGACAAACACAGGAGGGAGAAAGTGCTAACACTGACAGAAATGACAAAACCATAAAAACATCCCTAACATAACATCCATCAGTAAAACATGTATTCTATAGTACAAGCAGCAGTTCAACCAGTATCGGCTGCATATGTTTGCTGTTTGGACTGGGGTTGCATGTTCTTTCAATTGAGTTACCATCGGTAATTTATCATTTAGGATGTCAAAATGCTGAATACAGGATCTTTCAGTATTTTGTAATACCAATGACACCTTTTCTAAAAAAAAATTACTTTTTTTTGTTTAAGGGTCTGAACATAATTGTCTGGGCCATGAAATGGGGCCTGGTTGCTCTACAGTGTGGACAAAGTGTAGGACCCACAGGGCATACTACATACTATGAAGGTAAATCCTAAGCTATAATTATACATTGACTTACCAATGGGTTAAAAGAAGAAAATCAGGTAGTTGGTGTAACATATATCAACTAACTTTTCTAATATAACCCAACATGGGTGATTAAAGTGTCAACGTACAGTATGTTGCCCCACCCACACTGAAAGTCTGTATGGAAAACGCAGGGCAAGCGCTCGACTATTACAGGAAAAGAGGAACTAGTAAGTAAAAAGTAAACTTGCAGCTTGGTTGTTTGTGGCTTGGTTTATCATGTTAAATGAGCAACAAAAGAATATGTTCTGTTGAGTATAGCAAAAACCAGTAATACCCAAAAGTAGTCAATACATGGCTCCCTGCATCACATGCAAAAGCGATATAAAGCGGATGTACAGAATGTGTATGTGTGACATGTTTTCAAAGATCCAATTTTGTTGGGTAAAATGTGTTGTCAACTTTTAAGAGAAATACATATCCACAAGGTAGCAGATATAGATAGTGGTGACATTCACATGTGGATCGACTTTCATTAGTCACAGTAATGGCAAAAAACTATGAAACTATATAAAACTAAAACTAGTGTCTATAATTTAACTTCTTAGTTTACTATGTGAAAAAAGATCTAACAGAATAAGATTATAGTTACATTAAACAGTAATGATCCACTATACCACTAGTAATGGGAGAGGGCATTAAAACTGTGTCCATAGCATCAGCTACATGAGATAAATGGAAACTACATTCAGGTCTTGCAAGTTACACCTTACAGTTTGATGTTATAGAAATAATCCATATGACTACATAGGCTACAGCAAACTCAAAGGGACACATACTATCCTGACACCTTGGTAGAATTAATCAGTAAAGGCAATTTGATACTTTACCTGAAGGTAGATTATAAGTTCAAAAGTTGGTACACTGAAGCCTAGCCATGAGTATAAAGATTTCAAAACACTTCTGATGCTTTCTGCATATCTGTCCATCTCTGTCCACTAATAAAAGAAAAATAACTGTATTTATAGAGCTGATCCCCAATGTCTTATGCAGTCATGATGTTGAGGAACATTTAAATGCATTTAATTTTACGTCGTCAACTCATTGACTAAAAATTCCCACCAAAAGAAAGGATTAGCTTGTCTTTTGAGGACTACTATAAAAACATCCTTACACTGAACGTGTACAGTGAATGGAGCCATCTCCACTGCAGGTTACAGTTGTAGAGTGAGGCCTAACACTGTGTTACTGTTTTTCAAAGTAACTTAATATTCATATACAGTAGGTCTATGGAATTTGAGGCTATTGGACACTATTTATATGTCAGTAAGTATTCCTGGCAATTCTATGGTCTCCATCGTAAGTGTAATGTCTTCTGCTATACTGTATGTCATCAAATTTAATTTGGCATTTTAGAAAAGTATATAAATCTATCTATCTAAAAATAGGCGATAAAAACAGAGGGGTAACAGTATATGTGAAAATACTGGATGCATTAGATTGACAGCTGGATGGTTATGGAGTAGTCATTACATAGAGGACGAAACGCAACAACTTATTCGACATGATTAACACTCATCATTACAAGGCCATGACAGCCAACTGTCTGTCAATCAAATGTAATAAAATCAAGTCGTATTCTCTATCACCGATGTTTGAAAAGACTTAAAAGCAATTATAATATTTTATCAATATGTAATTTTCTATAAAAGTAAACTTTTATTAAGCAACAAGGGCAACAGTATCTTCAAAAAGTAGTTACTGATATATAAAACTGTGTAATACATTACATTTTCTACAGTTTGATATGAATACAAATATTTCCTTCCAGAGTATTGACAATGCTTTTATATGGTCAATGATAATAGCATTGAGAGCTAACATGGAAGACTTGTAAACAATAAAGTTGTGTGTTAAAATCGAAAAGCATTCTTCATAATATTTAATTATTAGATTTTGGCAATCAGAAACGAAAATATGAACATTTAAATTGTGTTTTAACAGTGGACCTAAGAGTAACAATATACAGTTTGCAATACATAAAAACTGTGGTTGGTGCTGCAAAATAAAAATCTGAAGTGGATATTTTTACATGCAGAAATGACCAAAAAAGTTGTGTTTTGCCTTACATGGTACAAAGAACATTTAGTTAACATTTAGTTAGCTTTATATCTGATAAACTGCCCAACTTTTAGCCACCTGCATCACGTACAGGAAGTGATGGAGCTTTATTTTGTTTGACCTCATGGGACAGATAATTCTATGGGAAAATTTGAAAAAGGTGATTGGAGATTTGCATTAAAGTCATGGTAATAATCAAAACATCTTAAACTCAATGTACTCCATGTTATGTTTACACATGCCTACTTGAAGTGATGGCTGGTTTATGTAAGACTTTTCCTAGAGGTTGAGGGAGAACCATATTTTTTAAACAGCAAATACTATGCGGGTTTACTCGACTTTCATTGAATCATCAGACGATATCGTTTCTGCATGGTTGATGTAAAACCGTGTCTCGGTCTTACCGTCTGATCCGGATCCAGAGAGAGGTGAGTTGAGCTTGGGTCTCTTTGCAGTGGGGGGTCCGACATCCAGCAGATTGTCAGCCATCCTTTTCGGCAAATATTGTGAGGATGATGATGCAGAAAAACAAAACGAGTATTTTCTTGCTTGTATTAGATGTCAACTTTTCCCAGCGATGGCGCAAAAGAGCAAATTAAATGTTTTTTTCTCCCTTGACTGACAGACTGGTGAAATGCTGCCTGGAGAAGAGATTCTCAAAAGAAAGGCAACAGCGCCACGTTTCGCCGCCGAAGATCACCCCATGATAATCCAACACCCAACACCCACATAATTATCCTCAATAATCACGTCTAAAATTATTTTGGCTCGAGAAAAATAAATAAATATCAATAATTAAATAATACACCAGGCGTAAGAAAATCCCTTTCTCCGCGGATGGTCGGTTTCACGTCTGGGCGCAATCATTTTTTTCGCAGTCGAAACGGACAGCCATAAAATCTCCTGTGGGCTTAAATAAAAAGAGCAAAATTCGAAAAATATTTTCTATGAGGCGGATTATTTTTCTTGTCGCTGTCTCCCGGAAAAATACGGCGTCTCGGGACGGCGATACGGCGACAAGCGGCGCTCTCGAAAAGGGAAATCAAATATACGGTGGGGTTCGGAGGCGATACAAACCCGTGTAATCCTTACATGTTTGCTCTAAT